AACACTATTAAGCACCTGGTGCTGGGTTGTCTTTGCAACCATGTGTCCTAAATAAATCCCTTCCCCATGCTGAGCTGTGCTAATGGCCTATTGTTAAATGGCCAGCCGACACACTATAAGATGAAGTCATTATTTTTTCCAGTCATACCAGCAAAAATAAAAAAAAAATCCCCCCAGTATCTTTCTCATAAGATGAGGCTGAAGTTGGGAAGGTGCAAACCCCCACGCGGTGCAGTCAGTGTCGTGTGTGCCTGCTGCCCCTGAGCATGGGATGCTGCTGGGGGCTGCTGGGGGCTGCTGGGGGCTGTCCTCGCGGGTGGGTGGCCCTGCTGCCTCCCAGCAGCTGCTGTCCTGCAAATTGCAGCATAAAGCGGGGTGCTGAACGGCCCAGTGCTGGCTGCTCTGAGGGCTGAGCAGCCTGTGTGTGTGTGCGGTGCAGCCTGTGCCCTGGGCTGGCTGCTCGCTCCCCGCTACCTGGCAGCCGTGTGCTCTCTGTGCTGCCGTCTTGTACGTAAGTGGGCTCCCTGGGAGACTCGCTCCATTTTTTTCCTTTAACCTTGAAATGCAATTTCCTCCCCAAAATACCCCTTTTCCTGTAAACAACATCTCTTTAGTGAGATTACAGCAAAAATCCCAGAGCTCCTGGGTCCCGGTCGCTTTATCACCCGGTGAGCCCCATCCGTCACAGCCGCGCGTGTGTTCGCGGCGCCCCGCCCTTGCTGCCGGGTGATGGTCTTTTCATCATTTTTACAGATTTATTTTACAATAATTTAATTTCATCCTCAGCCCTGGGAAGACGAATTGGCCCCTGATGTGACTGGGGATTCAGAGCCAGTCTCATAAATTTGCTGCCTCTACACAAAGCTCTTTCTGGAGTCCCCACCGCAGCCACGAACGAGAGTCTTTAAACAACGAGGGACAGGCTGTAAATCTCACGGGCGCTGGCAGAGGAGCGTGCAGCTCCCCAGGCCTCAGCCGGGTTCTGCAGCCCTGGCAGGGGGCACGAGGGCAGGCAGGGCTCTGCAGGCAGCTCCAGCCCCTCTGTGGCCGCGTCTCCCCACGGGCTGCTCCCCATGAACTGCCTGGCAGCCAGCGCTGGGGCTCTGGCAGGGCGCAGCCAGCTGGGGCTGCCTCTGCCGGCGTGTGCCTGGCTCCGGCGCTGCGTGGGGCCAGGTGTGGGCTCTGGAGCGATGCTGCCAGCCCCCCCGCAGAGCCTGCACCCGCTCCCTCACGTCTGCGCTCTCCGCGTGCGGGACTTTCACCACGCTTTTGCTGCGAAAGGCTTGCCAATGTAATTAAACTCGAGTGACTCCCCTGCCCCCAGGCACAGCCCCTCATTTCCCTTTGATTTATTATGTCTTCTTAATTTATTTAAATGAGTCTCGGTGTTTGCACAGGCTGGGAGGGTGCTGGCGGGAGCTCTAATTGCTGGAGCGAAGGGAAGGCGGCAGGAGGAGCCCTGCGGGGGCTCGGGGCTGCTGCCCAGGCTGGGCGGCCACGGCCGCGCTCCTCATGCCCGTGGTGCCGGGGCATGGCAGGGGCTGCAGGAAGGTGCAGGGGGCACAGCAGGGGGGCTGCAGGCGGACCCCTCACTGCGCTGGGCTCTGGTGCTGGGGACAGTGCCCTGGGCTCTGCCTCAGCGGGGCGGTGAGAGGCGAGGCTGGGTGGGCTCAGGGCATCTCCACGGGCAGCGCCTGCCCTGGCTGCGAGCAGGCAAAGGCCAGGGGTGGCAGAGCCCTGGGGGGGGAGCCCTGCTTGGACCCACTCCCGGTACGTGTGGGGCGAGGGCCAGGGGTCAGTCTGAGCTCGTGGCTGGAGGAGGCTCATCGCTCTCCCTCCGCCCGTTCCTCCTCCCGCAGGCCTGTGCTGGGGTTCCCAGGGGCTGGCCCCCTGCCCGCCAAGCACCGGCACAGCCTCGTGCCCGCTGGGCTCTGCAGCTGCCAGCCCCCTGTCCCCGCTCTGTGTTTGCTCAGCTGATTATTCCCGTCTCGGCGTAGTACCTTGCACTTGTCCCTGTTGAATTTCATCCTATTTTTTCCAGTCCATTTCTCCAATTTGTCAAGATCATTTCGAATTCTAATCCTGTCCTCCAAGATACTTGTAGTCCCTCCCAGCTTTGTGTCATCTGCAAATTTAATAAGCACTTTCTCTATTCCATCATCCAGGTCCTTAATGAAAACATTGAGCAAACCAGAACCAGGGTGAACCCTTGGCCATCCAGGCAGTGCAGCACCCTCCCCTGTCACCATGCTTGCTGTCCAAATTGTGCCTGGGGAAGCCGGAGCTTTGCCACGTTGGCTGTGCATCGCTGTGTCCCCCAGCTCACGAGGGAGCTGTCCCGTTTGCTGCCCCGCAGAGATACTGGGATCACGGTGTGCTGCCGGGTATGCAGGTCCCTGGCCCACAAGGGGGTTGGGGGAGGCACGGAGGGGCAGGGGCCCGTCCCCAGGAGGGCCACAGCCAGTGGTGCCAACGCCTGAGGGGGTGGGGGGCATGGCCGCATGAGGCTGCCCTTGCCCCGGGGCTGAGGGCAGCAGCCCACGTCCTTTTTGGCTGGGTGTGGGTTGCCCCCAGCCCTGCGGCCTCCCTGTGCTGAGGCCGCTGCCTCAAGGCTGGGGCTGCTCTGCTGGGCTGTGCGCCAGGCGCTGAAACAGAAAGCTGCTCCGCCAGCCCCAGGAGCAGCACCTCTGTGTGCCACCGTCAGACATCGCTTTTCTTTAATTGATTGTAAAAAGCAATTTACACAGCACAAACTGCTGCCTATGCCAAACTCTGTGTGTCCAGGCATAGCTTAATTTCACAGCAAGATCTCAAATACAATGAACGGCCTTTCCCATCACCAGCCCATGTCCAAGCCAAGAGCCTTGCTAGCTCTGTGGGCTGCACGGAGCAGCCCAGAGATGGCTCTCGTGCTGCCCCATGGAGCACGCAGCAGGCCAGCTCTCCCCACAGCCGCAGCAGCCCTGCTGGCACCCCACTGATTGATGCTGCCTGGGCTCAGCTCGGCACCGTCAGACCCACGAGGGCCCCAGCCCAGTCCCTCCGTGCTGCGAGTCAGCACAGGCTGTGCCGCGAGCATCCCCTGCGATGCAGCTCTCGGTGTCCTGGCAGGGCCGGCCCAGAGCTGGCTCTCCCGTGCTGGCTCCTTTCACGTCAGAGTTATAATTTCATGGCCAGGGTCTAGGAGGTTTGTACACACAGATGCATTAGTTCTGCATTTGGTGATACTTGAATAATTGGTGTCACATCAATTAGATCAGTTCTTGGATACCGCAGCGATAAGTGCTGTGCAAAAGCCTCTGGGCTGCAGGACTGGAGGAGTGCTGGTGGCAGCGGGGCTGGCGGGGGCGGCCGAAGGGGGCTGGTGGCAGTGGCAGGCCAGGGGCTGGCAGGCACCGTGGGGGCGGTGGGGTCGGGGGCTGCACTGTGGGCAGGGGGCCCTCGCTGCGTGGCGTGTCCCCATGGGGGTGCTGCTGACCTCCCACGCCTCCGAGCACCTCCCCAGGAGCACGGTGCCCCGGCCGTCCCATCAGGGAGCTGCTCTGTGTCGGGTCCCCCGCTGGGTACCTGCTCGGTGTCATCTGCTGCTTCCCTCCTCCCTCTGTGCTGCTGTGGCGTGCTGCCGGGCTCGGAGCCGTACACCCGGTGCTGGCCGCCCTGCTGGGAGCTGGGGGAGGCTCCGCTGGGCCTGGGGCAGCACAGAGAACCCCAGCGCTCACGTGCCCGCGATACAGATCGGCGCTGTCAGTGCTATCCCCGCTGCGCATTGTAGGCAGAGGTAATTTGCAGATGACAAATATCCCCGACAGTAAATATTTTTCCCACCCTCATCTTTCTACAAGCAGATAAGGTGGCAGCGCTGTGGCAATATGGTTCCTGGAGGGAGACAAACTCTTTGGCAGTCTTAAAAGTCTATTGTGTCCCCACAATTATTTATAGATAAACTGAAGAAAGCCAATGAGCGCAGAATGGAGCTGCACAGCTGCATTTGTTATGATGATGATGATGTTATCGCTCCCTCACACCCACACAGTGCACGGGAACTCGCTGCTGGCAGCAATCAAATCCCGTCCAGCACGAGGCAGGACAGGCGGCAGGTTTTGCTCCTGCAGCCGTCTCCTCGCTGCAGAGCCGTTTTGCCCTGCAGAAGCCCACCCGCACAGCTCCTCACGTGGTTTCCCACCCCCGGCCGAGCTGGGGACCCGGTGCTGCCTGCGGGGAGCTGGGGCTGGCTGCTCCCCACGCAGCAGGGCAGGGCCCGGAGGCCGGCGAGCCCAGCGGCTTTCCTGCACTACTGCCCGGGACAGAAACGGGCGTGTTTGGAGGAAGTTCTGTGAGGGATCTGGGATTACAGTGATGTGTCAGGGAAATGATGGAGATCACTACTAATTAGCGCATTTCACCAGCCTGTGGAGCAGAGACACTGGGGAGTGCTCTGCTGCCTCCTGCGTGGGAAGGGGTTGGGAATCACCGCGCTCTCCTGGTTCGGTGAGTTCGTGGAGCTGCTTCTGGGCACCTTGGGAGCCTGCAGAGAGGGGATGGGGCCTGGCAGGGCCGGACCCACCCCAGGGAAGGGCAGGAAAATTGGATCCCCGGGTCCAGGCACGGCACCAACTGGCTCCTGCTGGCCCCTCATCATCGGCTTTGGCATGAGCATGGCTTTGGTGTGACCACAGCCCTGGCACGGCCATGACCCCGAGCTGTTGCCCGCTGCATCCCCCACGAGAACCCAGCTGGGTGCAGCACACGGGGGTGGCCACGGCCGTGCACTGTGTGGGGGTGCTGGCATTGCACCAAGAGCACCGGTGTCCAGCAGCAGTGTGCACTGCTGCCGAGTGCTCATCTGTGTCTGTAGCATCGCTGTCCTGGAAAGCGTTGGGGATGAGCTCTGCAGCTGCAGAGAGCATCAGAGACAGCGACTGGGGGCCCTTAACTGGACTGGAGAATGGGATGATTTTTCATTGCTTCCTCGTAATAAGAGGACAGAAGTAAGTGACTAGTACAGTTCGTTCACTCGGTAAAGATTTATACAATCACTTCATCCAGTAATTGGTATTCTGGGGAGAGAGGGAGCTGCAGCTCCAGCATCCGCCTCTATTTGTTTTCTCTCCGTCTTTCTCTCTTTCTCTCCCCTTTTCAGAATGAGTAATTCTGTCCCTCACAATCCCATTTAAACAGAGCATTTGCAGAGTGAATAATTAGTTACATTCAATTAGGTCTCACGCGCTCTCCCTTCTCACTTTGGGGGACAGACGCACTAATGAGATGGCACATGTCTGACATGCAGGAGCAGGCATCAAACGCTGCGTGCCAGCGGGGAGAGGTCAGCCCTGGGGGAGGCAGGGAGCCAGGGCCAGGCGGCTGCTGTGGGGCAGCTGTGGGGAAACAGTTCTTTGGGAGGTGGGGGGAAGGTTGGGGCCAAAAGCTGTGCGTTTGGGGCCGACGGCTCTGCGCGTGTCTCGTCTGATGGCAGCACTCTGTGCTGGCAGTGCCAGCAGGAACTGGGGCCCTTTTTTGTCCCCAGGGCAGGGTGTTCACTGGGCTGGTGCCAAGGAGATGCTGGCACCGCTGGCAGCACAGAGCCCTGAGCGGGAGAGCTGCTGACATGCTTTTATCTCCCTTATTAAACCTAACATTAGGTTTTAAGAGGAGCCTTAAATAACGTGCCTCTGCCTTTACAGTAAAAGCTGCTCCGAGTTCCAGCTGCTCCTGGCTCTGGGATTTATGGCCCTTCTCCTGCCCCGCTGCGCAGCCAGGTGGCGGTGGCCGCGGGCTGCAGCCGCTGCCCCCAGCCTCGCGGGGGGGGCGCCCAGGCCCGGCTGTGCTGCGGGGGGCCCGGCGGGGTCGGGCAGGGATGCTGCCGGTCTGCCCTGCCCTCCCCCGGCAGGAGCACCGGTACCGGCAGCGGGGCGGGCTGCAGGGGCCGGCCCAGCGGCAGAGCAATTAACGTTAAAACACCGGCTTTTTGTCAACGGAGCGGTGGAGAACAACCGCGGGTACCGGCCCCCAGCCTAACGCAGCGCCAGCTCCGGGGGGCGCGGGGCCGGGGCCGCGACCCCGCCGCCGGCCGGGGCTGGGAGCCCCCGGGCTGCGGGAACCGGGCCCGGAGCCGCCGTCCCCGCCGGGGGGGGCGGCTCTGCCGCCGGCTGCCCCGCCCGGTGCCGGTGCCGGTGGCGGTGGCGGTGGCGGTGGCGGTGGCGCAGCTCCATCTCCTGGCGGCGCGGCGGCTCCGCACCCCCCCGGCCGCCGCCGCCCCCCCGGCCGCAGAAGCCCGTGTCGCGGACACGCGTGGGTCCGGGGCTGCCCTTTATTCACCCCGGCCGCCGCCCGTCCCGGAGCCCGCGGCCCCGAGCTGGGCGCTGCCCCCCCCCGGGGCTGCCCGGCAGCGCCGCGCCCCCGCCGTCCCGCACCGGCCCCCCCCGGCCGGCGGCAGGGCCGGGCCCGCTGCGTTCCCCTCCCGGGGCGGTCGAGCCGCGGCCCCTCCGCGTGTGCCGGCGGCCGGGGGCTTCCCCTCCCTCCCGGGCCCGAGGGGCAGAGCAGGGGGCGCCGGCCCCGGCTGTGCTCCTGTCAGCGCCCCCCGGCCTCACAGCCCCTCCTGCTCCGAGATGCGGCTCTCCTTGCCGTCCTCCTGGGCCACGGGCTGGCCGCCGAGCAGGGTCTCCTGCACGGGGAAGATGTCCTCCCCGTCCTCCTTGGGCTCCTGCCGCTCCATCTCCCGGGGCACCCCGGCCTCGACCTGCAGGGGCGCAGAGCAGGGTCAGGGGCAGGCGGTGGCACCCCCTCTGCAGCCATCCGCAGGCTCCTGCCACGCTCCCACCCTCCCCAGGGCCTCGCCCTGCGCTCGTGCTGCGTCCCTGGGGGTCCATCCCCGCGGGGCAGCCGCAGCACAGCCCCCCCCACACCCAGCCCCTGCTCTGCAGCTCAGCCGCTGGCACAGCCCCGGCCGTGCCAGAGGGACCCCGACCTGCTCCAGGGGCTGCCTCACCTGCTTCGGCACGCGTCGCCTCAGGTCTGCAGGGAAAGAGGAAGAGAAGGCAGCGGTCAGGGCGCAGCTCCCACGCTGTGAGCCCCGTGCTGAGCGCTGGGGTCAGAGCCGGGCCGGTGCTGCCATAGTGCGGGGCCTGCAGCTCGTGGTGCCAGCCCACAGGGACCGGGTGCCGCGGAGGGGCCCGGCTCTGGCCCTGTCCTCTGGCAGCCAGCCCGGCTCGGGCTGTGGCAGCACCGGTGTGCCTGCGGGCAGGGCACTGCCGGGCTCCAGCAGGTGCCCACCGAGCGGCAGCACACGAGGCTTGGGGCAGCCACGCTTTGGTGCCGTCCCCAGAGGGGCCACCCCAGAATCAGCAGAGCTGCCGACATCCCCCCCACCTTGGCCCAGCCTCTCCGGCCAAGGCTCCGAGGCCCCAGTCCCCGCTCCTCACCTGTGTGGACCAGGCAGTAGATGCAGATGCCCACGAGGCAGGTGACGACCGCGGCCGTGATGGGGATCAGCACGGACAGCGAGGAGCGCCTGGCCGACTCTGCCAGGGGAGATGGGATCAGCGGGGTGCCGCCATGCAGGAGGTCCCTGCTCCACACGGCTCCAGCCTGCGGCACCGGGCACTTACCACAGATCACATCCGAAGTGTTTGTCCCTTTCTCCTTCACCACGAGCCCCTTCTCCTCACAGCTGCAGGCAAGAACGAGACATCACCTCAGCAGGAGCCTGGGTGTGCAGAGCCCCCGAGGAGGTGCACGGAAAGCAGCAGGCGGTCGGCCTGCTGGGGTCGGGGCAGTGGCTGGGGGCCCACCCGGCACTGGGGCCCATGCTGTGGGACGGGGATGCCAGGCTCCCAGCACCATCCTGCTCCAGGGTCCTGGACAGAACCAGAAGGAGCGTGGATCTGAGACCTGCACTGACAGAGAAACCCTGGGGCTTGGGCACTTCAGCTGTTGCAGAGCAGCTCAGAGATGGCTTGATGACAGGCTACAAGTGGCTCCATGGGGAGGTAATTTCTGGCCGCAGATATAAGCAAAGTGAAATCCAATGGCTGGCAACTGAAGCGAGACTAATTCAGTCCGGAAGGCTCACGTTTCTAGCAGGGAGTGCAAGGAACCCTCGAGCAGCTTTCTACAAACGGGCGAGCTGCCAGCCCGTGGCATCCTCAAACCCCGGCTCCCCTGCAGGGAGGGCTGGCACCTCGGCCAGTAGCCACAGCCAAGGAGCGTGCTGGAAGGCAGAGCCTGTGCAGGGCTGGCAGGACCCCGTGGCCCTTGTTCCTGGCTCTGCAGTGCAGAAGCAGCATGGACACCCCTGGACAGGCACCAAGGGCTGGTCACAAGTGCCTGGACACCTGCCTCCAACTGGGCCACGCCACCCCCAGCCTCACTGCGCTCACAGCTCTGCTCCCCCTGCTCCTGCCCTAGGCCATCCCAATGCTGCGTCCCTCAGAGGCTGTCCCAGTGTTTTGTCCTCAGGTCCCCTCCAGAGGCTGGCAGCCAGGGATGTGCCAACAGGGACGTGGCACAGCTGGGTGGGCATAGGATGTGATCAGCACTCAGACCTTGTCCAGGGGTAGCACGGCTCGGTTTTGGAAGAGACGTTGGAGAAGGTGCCTTCTGGACAGGGCTCGCAGGGCGATGACGTCTGAGGCACGGTCTTGGCTGGAAAGGAACAGAGGTTGCAGGAAGTTTTGTAACAGGCTGTGGGGATCACCGAGCAGCCTCTCCCGTGGCAATGCCACCGGGCACAGCAGCAGCACAGCTCCCCCGAAGCTCTGCTGGGAGCCCTGTGCCAGGGAAGCACCCCGTGCTTGGGAGGACCTGAGGCCGATGCTGGCAGTACCTCGGTCCCTGGGGGAGGGCGGGAGCTTCTGGGTCTCACCTGACACAAACCCAAAGCCCTGCTTGCAGGGCTGGTTCTCCACGCAGGTCTGGCAGCTGGTGTCTGAGCAGTGCATGCCGGCCCGGCACTGGCACACCGTGTTGTGCGTCGCGTTTCCCTGCGTCTTCACAATGAGGCCAGTGTCTGGGCAAAGCGGCAAGGTGAGGCACCGGACAGGTGAGCCCAGGCAGACACCAGCCCCCATGGCCCCAGATGCTGGGGCCAGCGTGAGCACAGAGCACTTACATTCTTCACAGATGTCGTGGGGGGTGCAGTGCCGCTCCTTGGTCCAGCTCTGCTGATAGTGTCCGCTCTCACAGCGGACGCAGACAGAGTCTTCTGTGGCATTGCATTCAGAGACCAGCTTTTCCCCTGCAAGTGTGGTAGGGGCAGGTAAGTGCTGGGAGGCAGGGGCAAGGGAGCCTTCCCCCTGCATGCAGCAGCTCTGCCAGCAGGATGCAGCAGCGCCGGAGGCTGTGGATGCCAGGGCTGCTGCGGCACATTTGTTCAGTTGCTGGATGCTGCTCCGGCAGCCAGGGCTGGGCAGGAGGTGCTGGGGGCTGCAGCGGGAGAGTGGGGCAGGCGTTCACTGCCTCCAGCACGCCAGGGACTGGGAGCCAATCTGGCCATGCCAGCGGGAGCAGCTGTCCCTGCAAGCTGCCTGTGCCATGGGATCCTGCGGCTGCAGGAGCTCAGACTGTGCAAGGGAGCCCCTGCAGACTTGGTGAGGTGCGGGGGGTCTCAGGGCACCCACGAGGTCCCCAGCTGCTCCAGCAGTAGGTGACAGCGCGAGGTGAGCCTGTGCGCACTGCTGGCAGGGGGGGCTCACTCGCAGCAAGCGGGGCTGGCTCTGGCCGTGGCCGTGCCGTTGGCTCTGGCACAGCTGGGCCTCAGGGGCCCGGGAAGGGGAAGGCGTCTCCGTACCTGGCTGACAGCGGTTGCAGCACTTGCCCTTGTGCTCGTACTGCTTATCAGAGCATCTCACGGCGTCACCAGGACCCCAGCACTGGAAGAGATGAGGTTTGTGAAATGACACTGCTCCGCCACGCTCCTGCACGGCCACAGCTGCTGGCACGCGCGTGCCACCTCACTGTGCTCACCCACGCCCCGAGGTGAGGTCTTCCCTGCACCACGCTTCCCATGCCTGCACTAACCACAGACCGCAGCAGAGCCGCCCGCGCTGCCTGGTGCTACCAGTGCTCGCTTTGAAGTGGGATGGAAGCAGCTCTGGCAGGGTGGCCCCATGTTTCCTCAGATTTTCTACCAGGCTGCACATCACCTTGGGCCCCTGCGACTGCCCACAGCGCTGCAGCGCTGCCCAGGGGGAGCAGCATCAACGGCGACCCCCGACCCAGCAGAGCACGGCCAGCCCCTTCCGAGGCCAATGCACCAGCCCCGGGGGGCAGCAGGCCCCAGGCAGGCAGGTCAGCTCTGCGCAGCCGCCCACCATCCCCCCTTGGTCCCCCCTAGCAGGGGGACTGCTTGCTCAGGGCAGGGTGGGAAGGGAGCAGGGAGCTGTCCTTGTCCTGGGGGCTCGGATCTCAAGGCAGGCAGGAGGACACCCGTGGCATTGTCCCTCGCGAGCCCAGCACTGCGCATCTCTGGCACTGGCTGCTCCTGGTGAGTCTGCCAGGCCCGGGGACAGGGGGGAAGCCCAGCAGGGCCCTGGAGCAAGAAGGCTGCGAGGACTCGTAGTGAGGGAGGGCTGGGGGCCAGGCCGGCAGCAGCCCCGTGCTCTGCAGACCCCCGCGGGGTCCCGCGGGCAGCCCTGGTGCCACGGCGCTGCTCTGCCCGAGGGGCAGCGGGGCCGGGGGCAGCGGGGCAGCGGGGCTCCGGTGTGGGAAACCTGAGGCTGCAGAGGGAACTGCCCCTGTCACCGTGCGTTTGTGACTTCGGGCAGGAAAGGGAACTGAAAGAGGTGCTCGGGCTCCCGGCCCTGCCCCTGCTCACACCGCCCAGCCCCCCGGGGCCCGTTCCGTGCTCCGAGCCCTCGAGACCCCGCGCCCGGAGCCCCCCGGCCGGGCTGCAGCCCCCGGCCCAGCGGTGCTCAGCTCTGCCCCAGCCCCTCCGGCACAGAGCGGAGCTGAGCCGGGGCGGTCCGCGGGGGGACCTGCCCTGCCCTGCCCTGCCCTGCCCTGCCCTGCCCTGCGCTGCCCTCTCCCCCTCCCCAAATTCACGGCCGCGCTCCAGACACCGGCGACGGGGGTCCCGGGGCGAGGGGAGGCGAAGTGCGGCGGGGAGGCGCGGATAAAGCCGAGCCCCGGGGGGAATTCCCAGCCGCAGGAATGAGGAACGGCGAAGCTCCGCGCTCGGCAGCCAGGCCCGGGGCGCCCGGCCAGGGTCTCTCCCCCGCAGCCTTCCCGGCACGGGGCTGGGCGATGGCCCCGGGCCCGCTCCCGTCGGGGCGGCAGCGCCGCCGCGGGGCCCGGCCGCGATCGGCGGGACCGGAGCGGCGCAGGGGGGAGCGGAGCGGCCGGACGGCCCCGGGCGCTGCCCCCCGGAGAGCCCCGCCGCCGCCGGGCACCGCGGGGACCCCGCTGCCCGCCCTGCTGCCCGCCCTGCTGCAGCGACCGCCCCGGCCCCGGCCCCGCTCCCCGGCCCCGCGGGGCGCCGCACTTACAGCCAGCAGCAGCGCGCACAGCAGCCCCAGCAGCCCGCGCCGCCCCATGGCCCGAGCCGAGCCGAGCCGAGCCGAGCCGTGCTGTGCTGTGCCGTCCCGTCCCGTCCCGTCCCGTCCCGTCCCGCGCCGTCCTGTGCCGCCCCGTCCCGTCCCGTCGCGGGCGGCGGGGCAGCCCGTAATAACGCCTCGGCCCGTTTCCGCCCAGGAAGGGGCCGCAGGGGCCGCCCATCCTGCAGTCACCGGGCTCCCGCCGCCGGCTCCCCGCGCCCCCGGGGACTTCCCCGGGCCGCGGAGCGTGGGCAGCGCGGGGCCGAGGGCAGCGCCGTGCGGGGGCGGCTGCGGGGACGGGGCCGGGGGCCCGGCAGAAGCCCCCCGGCACCACACTGCGGGCCCTACGGGCTCCAGCCCCGCGGTCCCGGGGCGGCCGTGCCCGGTGCCCGGGCTACGAGGCGGGGCGGGCCGGGGGCAGCTGGGGCAGCGCGGGGCACCGCGGTGCGGACACACCGGAGCCCGGCCGGCGGCTCTGCCCCGCCACGGCACCCGGCCCTGCCCGGGGTCCCGGTGGAGCAGCTGGAGCTCGGTGTCACTGCACGGCTCCAGGCGAGCGTCACGCTGCAGCTGGAGGGAACCTGCTCCTCGGCAGCTCCCTGCCAGCCTCCAGCTGCTGCCTGGGCTGCGCCTTCCTGGGCAGACGGGGTGCAGGCCATGGGCAGGACTCGGCTGTGGGCCATGGCCAGGGGAGTCTTGTGCTGGCCGCAGTTAGCTCATTTCTGAGACAGAAGTTCAAGGTTTCACTTCGTTTTCCCAAGGAAAGACAGTTCAGAGTAGTGGCCCTGGAGAGCCCCTTACTGTTCCCCCAAACTCTGGCGTCTGTGCGGAGTCCCCAGAAATACGTCAGCCAGAAAGGGGAAGAGGCAGAAGGCCTGCAGGGGCCCAGCTGTGCCGCTGGCTGCCTGCGGCCTCGGCTGCATTTCCCTGGGGTCCCCAGAGCAATCCCCGGGGAAGTTCCAGGCTCCTCTGCTCTCGGGAGATTTCCCTGGATCCAGCCTGTGGTGCGTGCCTGGGAGGAAGGGGGGCTTCCAGCGTCCCCCTGCACCCCGCTCACACAACGGCACTGCTGCCCCGTCCCCTCCTGCAGCAGTGCCACCCACCCAGCCACGGCCAGCGTCGCCCCTGCCCCAGCTGGGAGCCCGTCCAGCACCGGCTGCACATGCAGCAGGGCCCAGGCTGCCCCGGTGCCGCTGCTCCCCACGGGCAGTTGCCGGTGCCCCGTGAGCCAGCAGTGCCCGCTGTGCCGCTGCCCACCCGCAGCCCCTCGGGGCTCCTGCTGCCCGGCGGGGGGCTGTGTGCTGGGACAGCTGCGGGGCCGCGTGCTCTGGATTCCCCCCTGCCGTCATTTCCCAAAAGCGATCCGCTTGAGGGCACGAGGGGTCCCAGGGGAGCCCTGAGAGCAGACGCTGAGCGGCAACGGCGCGGGAGGGGATTTCTGGGCCCAGCGCTCGCCCGGGAAGTCCCCGCGAAGCCCTGAGCGCGCCAGGACAGGCCGCGGGCTGCGGGCGGCCCCGGTGCCCCCTGCCCGAGCCGGCGGGGACACGGCCCCGGCGGCAGCCCCCGGCCGCGGGGGGTCGCGGGGCACCGGGGTCGGGCCGCGCCGCGCTCCGGCCCGGGGAGGCCTCGGGGCGGGCTGGGGGCTGCCGGGGGCGCAGGGCCGAGGCGGCCGGGCCGGGGCACCGGGCGCTGCCGCTCGCCACAGGGACCGGCGGGGCGGCGGAGGGGGGCGGGCGGTCCCCGCAGGGAGCCCTCAGCGCGGCGTCGCCCCGCGCCCGGCCCGAGGGGACGGGGACGGGGTCGGGGTCGGGGTCGGGGCCAGGGCCGGGGTCGTGCCCGCCGCCGCCCTGCCGGCGCCCCCCCGCGGCACTCCCGGGCCGCGCCCCGCCGGACTACAACTCCCGGCGTGCCTCGCGGGGCGGCCGCGGCGCGTGCCGGGAGCCGGGCGGGGCGGGAGGCGGGGCCCCGCGCGGAAGATGGCGGCGGGCCCCGTGCCGTAAAGCGCGAGGCGGCGCCCTTCCGGCCGGGCCCTGGGCGCGCTTTGCGACGGCGCCGTGCGGCAGCGGCGGTTGGCGCCTTTGTCCTGGCGGGCGGCGGCCTGAGGCGGCGCGGGCCCGGCGCGGCGGTGAGTGCGCGGCCGGGCGGCGGCCCCGCAGCGCCGGGGGGCGCGGGGCGGGCGGGGGCGGCCTCGCGGCGGTGCCCCCCACACCCCTACACATCCTCCCCCACCCGCCGCACGGGGCCGGCTGAGCGGGGCGGGAACGGGCCCGGGGCCCGCGGCTCCTCGGGGCCCTCCGCGGCGGGGTGAGGGCGCCCGGAGCCCCTCCGGCCCGGCCCCGGTGGCTGCCTCCCTCCTGCCGTGCCCGGGACCCGCCGCGGGCTCCCTCGTGGCCCGGAGCCGGCCCCGTCCCGCTCCCGCAGCGCTGTCGGTAGAGCCGAGGGTTTTAAAGCAAAGCGGCCTGAATTGACCCCCCCGGGGCCCGTTGGCACGGCCGCTGCCGTGAGCCGGCCCGGTGCGGGGCCTGCGAGGCCCGGGGCCTGCGGTGGGTCCGGGCCCCGCCGCTGCTCGGGGCTGCAGGGGCCTCCTGGGCTGCGCCTGCAGCAGGAGCCGCAGCGGGGACGTTTCCCCGTTTGCCATTGCCCGGTATCGCAGGCCGACGTCTGGAACATGTGGGGCTTCTGGGCTCATCATTGCTAATAGGGTCCTTGACCGTAATCTGCAGGCGCCAAATGGTCAGAGGCAGTGCTCGTGTGGGAAAGCTTCCTGCTGGCTCAGCGTGGGTTAGAGCTCGGGATTTATCGCTTCCTTTTGGAAGTGACCTGCAAGTGGAGAAACAGTTTTGTTTTTTTTTTGTTTTGTTTTGTTTTTGTATAGAAGGGTCGTGCATCCCCTTCCCACAGCCACCCCCTGCCATTCCCAAGCTCAATAAAAAGAAACGAGAATTTGTTCTGGCTTTCCATAATGGGAGCAGAATGTCCCACCGGCTGTGTTGGGAGCTGCTTGCGGGTGTGGCATCCCGAGGCCGTGCTGGTCCCAAGGCTGTGGTGGTGGGGCACCAAGCCCCTGCCCCGGGCAGTGCTCTGAGCGCTGGGCATGGCCCCGACCTCCCGGGTGCCTGCTGCGTGTCTTAGAGCTATTTCTCCACTTTGGGACAATTTTGAAAAGTTCTTTCAACCTCAGCTGAGAACTCAAGCTGTAATAACAGAAGTGAAATCTAAGAGCTGTGTACAGCAAAATGGGACAAGGCTTGGTCCTTCAGGTGAGGAAGGTAAAACTGTGTGTGTAGCAGGGGAAAACTTATAGGAGGACTGAGGCAAATGAGGTATAAGAACTGACTTTTTTCTTTGTTCTTGGAGTGTTTGTGTTTGTTTGTTTGTTTTTTTGCTTTCTCCCTGTTCTAGCAGTTCTGTTCATTATAAAAAATAAATAAATAAATATTGGAGTGGGAGGCATTCTCAGCAGGGTTTCCTAAAGGCAGACAAATAATAAAAGCATAAAGGTGGTTGACCTTAAATCAGTTTTATGCCTCAAATCCTGGAGTAAACTTACTTCTCATGCCAATTAAATGTTGTAGAAGTACCTTAGTGAAATCATTTTGTGCTTTTTGGTGTCTGACTTGTTTATTTAGATGCTGCTTTTAAATTACAGTGCATGCAGCGTACTGGTAGGGGGGTGTGCTGGCTGTAGGCAGCTCTTGATGGACAGTAGAAGTTTCTGTTGATATATTCAACTTCACCAGCTTTTCTTTACGGGCTTCTTACCATCAGAAAATTCCATCCTGTATTTCTGTAGTCGGATGTTTAGGAAGGATGACAACTTCATTCTTCAAATAGTCTTCAACTTTGAAAATTTTGGTGCTTTTCACTTTTTTTTGAAGTGTTACTTAATGGTGACTTTTACAAGAGAAAGTGCAAATCCTGGATCAGTTTCCCTGGTTCTGTTTGGGTTGATAGGTTCTGTTCTGGTGCTTTGAGGATTTTGTTTTGTGTGCTAAAGCCCTTTGGGTGACTGTAATGAACACTGCTGCCTGTTCCCGCAGCGGTGCTGCGTTTATGTTGGGTGCTTAAATTCCAGCTGTGGACCCGCCTTCAGGGGAGTTGGCATCGCGGTGGGGACAAGGATGTGCTGCTGAGTAGCGAAGTGCATGAGAAGCTGCTTTCGGGGCTGGGAAGGCTAAGGGTTCGCGCTTAGTAAAGACATCCCAGTGTGGTCACTGGAGCACATTTTAAAATACTTTGCAACGTCTCATTCAAAGCCTATACAGAAACATTTGGCTCCTGTTATGCAATGTTGAGATGAGTGTTTCCCTTCTGCTTATTCAAATATTGCATAAATTTCAATTCTTCTTACCGATGAACTGAGGAATTAGGTATGACAACACGGGGGGCACTGCAAAGCTAAAGTTAAGATGTTTCAGCAGTCTGGGTTTTATTGGTATTTTAGTTTGGAGTTAAACCATTAAAACACATCTGCAAAATAGATTAGGCTTGCTCCATTCCAGTTCTGTGGGAAGATCAACCGAAATGCTGCGGTGTACGTTTTTGCCAGACTTCCATGTCCCTTGTATTGAGATTTCTCTGGAGCGAAGCTTGCGTCAAACCGACCCAGTTGGCTTCTAGTCCGCAAAGCTGTTAAGTTTAATCTTGTTCCAGTTTAATTTTAATGTCATGGATTGAAATTATATGCGTGGCCATTTCTCTTTTTTGCGAAGAGTTGGATTTGGAACGAAAGCAAAATGGCTCGAGGACGCAAGAGCAATAGCATCAAACAGAGCGACTTCACTAACAGCACCAATCCGCAGGATTTAGAGAGAAGACTTTTTGTCGGCAATTTGCCCACAGACCACATGACTCGTGAAGAAATGGAAGAGATATTTTCAAAATATGGCAAAATCAGGGGTTAGTATTTTATCTTATGCCTTTTTGTGGCTGGGAATTCAGTCAAATATAACTTTCATGCTTGTCAAATGCTATTTGATGGTGATGAGAGGAGTGACTTATGTTTCACTAATAAGTGACCTTTA